GTTCATGGTCGTGAGGCCAACACGGGATAAGGTGTGGAGCAAGAAGACGGATATGTGGTTCAAGTTGAGCGAGAGGAAGAGGAACAAGATATACGATTTCTTGTTCCTTCAAACGTGTCCGAGGAGGGACACTGACGCCGAGTACATCCGCCGGAAGGACCACATGTTGGCACTGCTCGACAACTACCACTTCGCCTCCCGCATGAACACGAAAACGTTTATCGAAAGGCTTCAGTCGCTGTACTACGTGGAGTCCGAGGAGCAGTTGAAGTTAGCCAGTTACGCTTCCCTGATCTCCACTGACGACATGGAAGCCATAGGTGTGGAGTTTGTCGACAACGAGAAGGACCACGGTCGGGGGTCCTCGTCGGCCGGTCCGTCACCAAGCGCTGCAGCCCTCGTGTCATCATTGGCCAAACCGCGCCGGGCACCACGCCGATGAAGTTGCTGGAGAGACATAGAGCTCTGGCTGCTTCCCCGCCCGCTTTGGGTCCCGGGTCCATTGTCCCGCCCGATTATCCGTCTTGGAAGGATGACAACATCCACTTCTGCTTGAACCGCAATGTCATTCACTTGAGCAGGACTGGGGCCATGATATGGTTTGGCATCCGGGAGTCATCCAGCCAGCGATACGAAATGGCGAGTGGGTCATGGCCGTGGCAATCCCGGGTGCGGGATGGGTGTCATTCCCACACGAGTCGAAGTCCAACTTCCTGCACCTTGCGAGGATTTCGGTCCTCCAGAAAGTGAAGGTCGAAAATGACACTTTAGCACCCGGCGACCTGTCCCTCATTTCCACTACCGGTCGACTATTTCACGAGCTTCAGCACAAGTGCTGGTTGGAATTGACGGAGGACTACTACGAGCTCGACACGAGTCCGTCGAAGGGCGTGGTGGAGTGGAAAGTGCCCACTCCCAATGGGTCGGACGGTGGTTCCGGGGGGGGGTCACCTGGAAGCGGAGGGGATGGGGGTAGCGACGCCGGGGGTGGCAAAGGAATCCCGCCTATGGGGGAGAGAGGGTCTCATGGCCGCAACACGACACCGACTGCGCATCCGGATGTCGCCGGATTACAGTCCGCGCTATACACACGACGATTGTCCACACTGTCTGTGCATACGGGAAGTTCCGGGTGTCGGCATGCTACAACCAGAAGCCCTTCCTACTCTAGCTCGTCGGCCTGTCTGTGACTCGGCCGGGTTGCTAGTCGAGGGCGGCGAAAACTTCGTCCAAAACCTTACACTCCATCCAAGGAAGGATCTGACCCGGCTGAGGAAGTGGCCAAGGTGCTAAGAAAGTGGCCAAGTACATGGACTGACAGTTTTCCCTTCTCGGAAGTAGTGCCGGTTTTTAGTCCACCGGGATCCGAACTTCCTTTGTCGATGCGTGATGTGGTCAATATCAGTAGGGATGGTGTGTTTAAAAGTCCGCCGCAGTCCGAACTTCGGGGATTGCTGGCCTCCGGCTTCTGTGAGTTAAGGTGGTTTTCCTTTGCGAAGTGCGGGGGGCAATAAGCTCGAATGTTGCAGTCGTTTTGTTTTCCAGTCGCACAACCGCACCTAGGTGCACATGACCACGCGAGATCAGGGTCCTGTGGTCAGAGCGGTCTTGCTTGACTGTAGGCCAAGGTGCTAAGAAAAGGGGCAAGTACATGGACTGACAGTTTTCCCTTCTCGGGAATAGTGCCGGTTTTAGTCCGCCAGGATCCGAACTTCCTTTGTCGATGCGTGATGTGGTCAGTCTCAGTGGGGCTGGTGTGTTCAAAAGTCCGCCACAGTCCGAACTTCGCGGACTGCTGGCCTCCGGCTTCTGTGAGTTGTGGTGGTTTTCCTTTGCGAAGTGCGGGGGTGATAAGCTCAGATGTTGCAGTCATTTTGTTTTCTAGTTGCACAACCGCACCTGGGTGCACATGACCATGCGAGATCAGGGTCCTGTGGTCGGAAAGGTCCTGCTTGACTGTTGCGTCTGTACGAATGTATGGTTCTCATTTTTCGTTTTGTCTTTCTTCTGTTGTACAGGGGTGGTGTCGTCTCGAACACGGAGGTCCTCCAAATATCCAGAGCACATATTGCAGAAAGTCCCCGGGTTGAGTAAAAAACACAAGGATATATTAAAGGCATCAGGGGTTGATGTCAAGATCGGGAAGAAAGAGTACACCGTTGCCATTAAGGAATGTCTTTCCCTTCTTGCCCCAGATAAAAGGACATGTCCACGATCTGTGAGTAGGGGTCAGGCCATGTATGAGAAGTACTTAGCAACGCGTCATGCACCGGGGGACAATGTCCAGAACTCCATTTCTCACTACACCACGTGTCCTTTGCTCGATGTTGTGCAGTGCTGGCAACAAGTGCAGCACGCGGAAAAAGTTTCGCTGCGACGATTGCGCCTCTGAGCTTGCGGGTTTTCGATGACATTGTACGAGGCTTGGTGCCGTCTAACACTATTCTCTCAATACAAGGCGATGGTCAATTTATGATTGCAGCAAAAGATCTCCTCACCCTCGTGCATGTCAACGGCTGGGTGAATGATGAGGTGGTCAATTTCTATATGACATTGTTGGGGTCGACCGCATGTGGGTCACGTGACATATCTCTAGGCCTTCAAGTCTTCAACTTTAATTCGTTCTTCTTCAGTAAACTGCAACTTCAAGGACACGGTGGGGTGCAGAGGTGGGCTAAATACGTAGATTTGCTTCGTTACGATATTATCTCCGTTCCTGTCCACAAAGATGATGATCACTGGATCCTCGTTTCGGTCAACATAAAAGATGATGTTCTCGAAATTTTTGATTCTTTTCCTCGCATTGTAGCTGATTCTAGTTCTTACCTTAGTGTTTTCGGGTTGATTTGCAGTATTTGGAACGTCAAACATCACATAGGCGGTCGGCTAGGAATTGGAAGTCCATGGTGGGAAATGTTGTGGTGGATGGAGTTCCGAGACAAGTGGATGGAGCAAGTTGTGGTGTGCTCATGTTGATGTATGCGACGTTGTTGCAACATGGAGATCGACCGTCTTTCCGGTTCTCTTGTAAAGATATTCCGCTTCTTAGACGACAATTAGCATCATGTGTCTTAGAACATCGTTGTCTTTGATGAATTTGATTGACTTCGAAAAAAAAAATTAAGGTGTTTCATTCGTTAATCGTTAAATTTCGTAAATCGAGACATTATTCAACTGTCCTTCTGCCAGAGGCATTGCTTTCTTTTATCGTTCCGAGTTCGCATTATCTACAACAAGCTCAATGCATGTCCTGCGTCATGTATGGGCTTTGTAATCTATGTCACGTAATGTTCCATGTTTCGAATTCTGTTCAAGTTGAAGTATTGTGTTCCATGTTTGGAGTTCTGTTCAACTGGAAGTGTAAACATGATTGTGAAACTGGTTGAGGGATGAATGAGAAATCTCATCTTATGTGAAATTGGTCAGTGGATGCCCAAACCTTCTTTGCATAACCATTTGAAAAGCGGATATTCATCGCGATGGAGCACAATTTAATCTAATTCAATCTAATTACATTGCTAATTTTATTTACAAAAGTTGAACAACTATGGATGTCAGCAAACTTTCGCATTTGGGGCGACTGGGCGGGCATGCCCATGTACAAACACTGCAGTCAAAAATGAATTCGTAAGAAAGAGGAAAGTGTGACAATATAGTTACTGTGTCTTTCATCACATTTATGAAATTGAAGTTTGACAAGTTAGGTTCACAGCACAGTTCCGCACAGGGTTCTGTTTGGCGAGCCAATCGTTGTTCGTTTATGAAGTTTGACCAGGTTGGATCCCAACACACTTCCCCACAGGATCACCAACATGTTTTTGATGTTCAACAAGTAAGGATCCCAATACACTTCCACATTTGGGATTTCATTTATGAAGTTTCACAAGTATGGATCTCAGAACGCTTCTACATGTGGTGGCGGGTTTTTGATGTTCAACAAGTCAGGATCCCAACCCCTGGATGGGCATGCCTACGTTGCTTAGGCTGCAGCCAAAAATCGATTCGTTAGAAAGAGGACACAGTATATACTTGAACACCAAATGATTCGGGAGTTAGTGGTGTTCGAAAGAGCACCTTAACGAAGTGGCAAACAGTCGTTCGCTCTCGATGCCGATTGCCAATAGCATTGTTCGTGAGAGAGAGAGAGAGAGAGAGAGAGAGAGAGAGAGAGAGAGAGAGAGAGAGAGAGAGAGAGAGAGAAAGAGAGACCTGGAAAGGCATTGACCGATACTAGTTGAACGGCGAATCAATTCGCAGATATCGGTTTGGTGACTGAGCAGCAGTCTGTGCGGACGGACTTCCTGTTGGATTTGGATCTGTTTCGAGCAGAGTTTCGCACTCCAGAAATAGAATTGAACTCCTGATCCCGCAGGGTATCAGTTTTTGGACATTTGCATGGACAACTAGCGGATTGCTCGGAGTACACATCACAAGTCAGAGTGAACTCTCATTTAGATGGACAACATGAACGCAGACCATCAGCGCGGTGATACAATACGGATGCTGGCTTGTCATTTGCATGGACAAATTAATAACATAAATTTCTAACATTCACTCTTCTCATCGCAAACATCGATCCCCTCCTGGACATGAGCATGTTTAGGACTGTAAGACATTGGCATGAACATGGGAGATCGAAACACTCGTGCCATTTCTTTACATGGACAAGATACATAACATCCATTCAGAACATTTACTTTTGTCACCGCAACGTGGAGATGGAAACACTCGCAACTTGCATAGTCTTTTCCTAACACTGCACCATCGTAAATGGAGACAGCGCACGCAGAGTTGAGAGAAATGTTCAAACCACTGAACCGCACATTGCAAAGTAGACAGGGGTTGTTCCCGGAAAAACGTTTGAAGCAAAAAACAAGTAGTAGATAGAGGTTTGAGAGGCGTTACAATAGGTGCCAGAGGCAACGTGTATGAAGTAGTAGATAGAGGTGCGAGAGGCAATAGTTGCAATAGGTGCAACACGACATCGCAAGACGACGTAACATTGCAACACAGCACAAAATAACTGTAAAACCAGAAGAGTTCATTAGAATTACAATCGCCCTTAAACATAAGGTTTGACCACACGTCCGTATCTTGTCACATACGGGGCTTATCGCGGACGAGGTCGTGAACTGAAACCATACATGTCATTCATAGATGATCCATATACGTGGCTCTTTGGTTCGTGGACAGTTGCATTCCCCGAAAACACGGACATGTATTTCATCTTGACAAACCCTCCTGATCGTGCTAAGGAATTCCCTATACAGTCTCGTATGTCGGACACTTTCTCTTCCACCTCATGCCACATGATAAACATCTGACCCGACCTGCTCTCACCAAGTCTAACCGCCCATCTACATCTGGGCGAGACATGACCGCCTTGAACTTGGATCCCTGAAGCACCAGCTCGTTCTGTGCCACGAGCACAACCGCATCCATAAGTTTCCTACTTTTGCTTGAAGAAGCCACATATAGCACTCTGGCGAAAGGACATCCGTCATCCGTCAACCACACACAATACTACGATAGAGTTTGTGGAGAAGTCCTTGGGCAACGGGGTGGGTAGTGTTCGAAGAATGAACAATGACGAGTGCAGTCCACCAAATCTTGCTTCTGCGAACTTCCCCAAGTTCGTGGCGAAGATGTGATGTACTCGCAGTGGAGGCGACGGCTGAAGATAGTACGGTAGCGGATCGGTTTACCCTTATCGTCCAGGGTCTTTTGCTGGAGGACACCATCAGGCAATGGAATGAGGCTCCTGAACTCTAACATGTTGGCAAACTTGTAATGGCTTGCCCAAGGGCAGGCACGCTCCATCGCCTTCCAATCATTATCATTCCATTCGTCGAGATGTCGGTTCATGTACGGTTTGACGGGCATCCATGGGTCCTCGTCGAAGTCGAAGTCCTCCTTGGATGCTTCGTCAATCCACATTTGATCGTCATGATGCAGCACCGATGTCGCACAAGGTGAAAACGGTTTTGCCAAGCGCATGTGCTTCTCGGGACTCAAGCGCATGTGCGTCTCGGGACTCACGCTGACGCTTGTCAAAGGTCTCGATGACATTACGCT